CAAAATTTAAAAAATGATCTGAACCAATTCCGTGATTTTCTGCAAAATTCCGTGAACGCAGAAAATCATCGTCCCTGTCCTGGGGTAGTTACGTAGGGCCAACACATCACGAGATACCCGATAGTCACCTGCTGGCTTTAACCAATCAAAATCGTGAAATTTAATTAATCCCGGATCAGTCCGAAATCAAAACAAATCATTAGACTCAATTATCTCAAAATAAGGCAATTTTTTGTCGTCTGCCCAATAATGTATACTTATTTATTCAAAAGTTTCCAATTTACGTTATTAAATATTTTTATAACACCACCTTTTCTCTTTAACACCATTAACAAAATAATAAATATACAAATCCAGGAATTATAGACTTTGGAACTTTTAACGGTATGCTTAAAATTATCTTTGTTATAAAGCAAAATAGCTTCTCTTGCACCTTCCCAAGAATCCCTTCCTAGCAGCCGATACTATTAAAAAATATTTATATATTTAATATTATAACATTTTTGTTAGTATAATAAAAAAAAATAATACGTACTTGTATAGGAGTTGCTATGCCAAACATAATTAATTGCCAAAATCTAAAGCCAAACTTTTTAATTATCTCATAAGAATAAGGATAACAACCAATATCTTTGCTCAAAGTATCCATATAAGATAGATAATTTTGTCGAATAGCACTACGAGCATGTTTGCAAGAATTTTTACGAATATTTTCGTAATTATTACGTATAGATTTTTCCATTTCATATTGAGATGGGAGTGGCTTCATCAATCCTTTAATATGACTTGTTATGTAACGTGCTTGCATTTCACTTTATAAAATAAATTTAACATAAAAAAATAATAGTACAAACACATTAAAATTCTTAAATTCAAAATTTACCTGATTGGCAAAATAGCACCAGCTGCTACAGTCAATCCCATAAAAGCAATATTTGGATACTTTGGAGGAAACATTGATTTGTACAACCAAACTAAATCACAAAAGTCTTTTTCAAACTCTTGCACGATTTCATCCCCACCAGTAAAAATATGCTTTTCTAAAAATGGATATTCAATATCATAACCAGTAGAATAAATAACAACATCAATATTTTCTAAGACAGTCCCATCAACAAATTCAATTCGATTATTTTCAGAATTAAGTTCTTTAATATCCGATTTCACAATAACTGTACCAGCTGTAAGGCATTGAAAAACTTCAAATTTATAACAGGTAATGAAGCAATTAAAGGTTCATTAGGCATTAGATGAGGAGGAAATGAAAAAGATTTAATAATATTGTTTTCAAGTATTTTTCCTCTAATAAAAGGCGGAATCATATATGCAGAGAAACGAGATGGGCTATGGTCATACGCTTTACCATTTATAAAGCGTGGTAATATCCATGGAAGTTTTTCTGTAAAATAATAAAAAATGAATTATAATTAGAAGGACCTAAAATAAATGTAAAATGTAAAATTTACCTCTGCGAATGCTTAAATAGACTTGTGATGCGGCATGAGTTAATTCAACCGCGATGTCCATTGCACTAAATTATTTAGTGAATAACATGTTTTTATATGAATCTTACAATTGCGTAACTTAGGTTATTTTCATACCTATTAGCACAACCAACCACCAAAACGCGTTTATCTTCAAAATCTGTAGCTCTAACGATTTGATATTTTTTAATAATGATAATAAATATATACATATATATAAATGGATAAGTTGCAAACAAACTCACCGTTTATACATATAAGAATGGATTTGTTTACCCTTAAATAAATTCATTCCTTTAAATTCGGGCCATTTGGGTTTGCGATGTTTGCCGGTACAAACCATTACGAAATCAAAAACTTCTTCTTTTTCTTCATTTTCACATTGAATAATATATTTAACTTTCCAATGTTTATCATGAAGTATAGTTATTCTTAACACGGTAGTATTAAATTTAATATGGGGTAAAAGATTAAAATGTTCGGCGTATATATCAATATACCTATTTTCGACAAAATCAGAAAATAAATTATGAATTGCTAATGAAAACAATAATAAAAATAAATTTATTGAAAAGATTACTTTTCTACTAGTGAATGATTCAAATAAGTCGGCCAGTCTATCGGAATTGGAAAATCAGAAAACGTTGTCTGTTTTCAGATTTAAATAGATTACTTGTAAATTCAACTTGACTTGTTCTAAAGAATTAAATTAATACCAACCATTTCCTTAGATGTATTGGTTAAAACACCTTTATAAACTGAAGAATAAGGATCGTTGTTTTTTTCGTAGACATCTTCATATCTCCATATTCCGCCGATAAAAGAATTTTGTTCAAAGCAAATCGGAATTAAGTCGTCAACCAGACATTGTTTTATTGCTGTTAAACCTGAGATCCCTGACATAAATAAATCTTATTAAATCTTTTATTTCAAAATATCAAAAAAATTTTTCACCGTTTAAAATATCTAGCTTACCTGCGCCTATAATTGCAATACGTTTAGCCATTATGATACTTTTTTTACATTTGCGTCCCAAAAATTTATATAACTTTAGTCCTGCATAATTAATTACCATTTACAGATTTACAGGAGGATCTTTGATCAGTATTACGACTTAGTGATGCATTAAACTCATTGATAGATGTAAATGTACGTACGTTTTATTGTATAAAAATGTTAAATCAATATTACGTGTGGGGTATAGTGTGAGCGGTAGGATGGTGGTGCCGGGAGCTTGTGATCGGTGACGGGTATGCCGATCACCTACCTTAAATGGGTGTACCGGCAGTATACTATGTATCCTATGTATCGGGTGAATAATGGATATCAGTGGGATCAAGGGTATACTTAAAATAATCAGT